CGCATGGCCCTAGCAAAAAAAACCCTGAAACCTAAACCCCAAACCCTAAACCCTAAACCCTAAAGGCCCTAAACCCAGCTCCATGCCCATGTAGAAGCCAGGGTGGATCCTAAGGTCTGAACCCTTCTTGAGAGAGCTGGATGGCCAAGAGGTGGCCGTGCTTCTCATGGACACACAGGCAGGGCCCATGGCCATGAGGGATTAGGGTTTAGGGTTTAGGGATTAGGGTTTAGGGTTTAGGGGGTGGTTGGCAAAATTATGGTACCATTAGGGTTATATTAGGGTTCTATTGGGGTTATATTGGAGTTCTATTGGGAGATAATGGAAAATAAAATCGAAACTACTATAATGGGTTATATAGGGGATTTCTAGCGGTTGTATTGGGGTTATATAGGGATAATGGAAATAGAATGGAAACTACTATATATAATGGGATTATATTTTGTAGGTATATACAGATATAGGGAATTTTAGGGGTATTACCCCAATGGTGGAGACTCAAATGGAGCAGAAAATGGCAAATGTAATGGAACCTGGGGGTTTATAGGGATGCATAGGATAAGGGTTAGGTTTGAACATAGGCTTCTCTGGTGTGGTGTGCGCATGTGTCACATGAGCGTGGAGCCTGAAGCCCCATTCCTCCCACTGAACTGTCAGGGCGCCTGGGACAGTAACATGACCAAGGACTTCAGCGGGGATTTGCGGTCATAAACTTGCAGCTGCACAACTGCGTCATGATGCAAAGCGCAGCGCTTTTGTGCCACTGGACGTTCTAATGCACCCGTCTATCATCACATCATGCCTTTCTCGCGTTGGCCGTGTATGGCCACCGGAAAAGTTCAGGAGCAATCAGCTACAGTCTTTGGTCTGACAGCAGTGCTGTCATCAAAGCAGATGCTTGGCTGCATGAAGCATCATCCCTCATGAACCCCTATAATAAGGATAATAGTATATTGGGACTTGGGGAAAATACCATGACCCTATAAACCCAGTTTCCATTTCATTTCCCATGTTCTTTTCCATTTGATTTTCCATTATTGGCGTAGAACTCCCCTGCTGCAACAAAACCCAGTCAAGTCAAACGCCCCCGCTCAGTACTTCTTGATGGCTGCCCCAATTAATCTGGAGAATCAAATGGAACAGAACATGGAAAATGAAACGGAAGCTACAATGTATAGGGGTTATGTAGGGATTTTATCACCAAATACCAATACTGGAGAATCAAATGGAAAAGCAAATGGAACATGACGTAGACGCTATTATCTACAGACAGGAGCTCTATAGGGATTGAAAGTGGAACATGAAATGGAACCTGGGAGTTTTGCGTGTCCCCATCCCTGCCTCAGAATCCGAACGCAACGGCATGCTGAAACTACAACCCTTTTGCTAGAAAAGCTGCCTCCCCCTGCTGTTCCTACCAAGCCCTGCTAGTTTTTGATGCCGAGCCAAGGATTTACAACATAAACATGCAGATACAGGAGGACAAGGCGCGGGAGCTCAAATTCCGGGTCTGGTTGCCATGCCGGGCATGGTTGTCGGTTTGCGCATGGAAGGCTGATAGGTGTGCTTCAGCTGTGGTGCAAGAACCTCGCAAGTAGAAATGAGTTAAAGTCAACTAGTTTGCTTGCAGCACTGAAGCTGTAATCAACGATTGTACCTGCAGAATGGACCATCATGTGGCTATTTTGCAAGAGAAGCAGGCACCATGTCAGCATTTTCTTTTGTTCCACCTAATAGGCAGTAGGAAATGCTGGAATAGAGTCCTTATACAATCCCTATATAAAATATTCCCTTCTTCCCTACTAACCCCCAGTAAGTGCCTCCTTGCAAGGTGGAGAACCTGGCCTACTTCATGCGCTTCGCTCAGGCGGCGCTGAACAAAGCGGCCGCATCGATGGGGGATGAAGGCCGGCTTTTGTCAGTCATACATCCACTTACTGGGGGGTTAGTAGGGGATGAAGGAATATACTATATAGGGAACTGAACAAGGACTCTATTCCCATATTCCCTACTAGCAGCCAGAAAGATGTCGAAACTTCAGGTCAAAACGTCTTAATATCTCGTGCAGGGTGTTTCCTGCGAAGGGCAAGCTTGGTAGCAGAGAGTTGATGTCCAAGAGGCGGAGCTATGACTAGCACTACTATTCGTATTGTCATGCGCTTCCTGCAATCTTGTGCAATCTTGGAGAAGAGCTGAGCCATAGTCCAAACTCCTTACAGGGCTTACATAGGGGATTATATAGGGGACGACTATAGGGCTTCTTAGAGGGGATACTAGGAGTTTAGACTATAACCCCTATAATCCCTTACATAACCCTTATATAGCAGTTTCCATTTTCTTTTCCATTTGATTCTCCATTTTCAAGGGGGGGATACTAGGAGTTTAGACAATGGCTCTAAACCCTAAACCACTATAGTAGTTTCCATTCTCTTTTCCATGTGAAGGCAACAAGCTCAGCCAGGCCGGGGCCCCAGAGTCTGCATCAGAATGGCCCATTGGGGGTTTCCCACAAGTAGGGGTACCAGTTTGGGGGTCTCCATAATAAGGATAAGAGTATTTTGGGGGATCCCCCTATTGAGGGAAACCACCAGTTCGTGTTAGCATCCGAGCTTTTCTTCCCAAAACTAGGGTCCCATTTTGGTACCCCTAGATATTAGGTGCGGCAATATAATCTATAGCCAACAGGGGCCCACAATTTTCAGAACAACCCATCCCTTCAAGAGCTTTAAAAGTGTCAGTTTTGTCAATGCCCACATGGCTGCAGAATGGAAAATCAAAGTTGCTCAGTCAACGGTCAGCTCAAGCATCACGAATGCAAGCTGGCAATGCAGGTGGCAACGCTCTATTATGACTGTTATGGGTGCCATTTCTATTACTAGTGCTATTACTATTGCTCATGCTATTACTATTACTGTTACTTTTACTTTACTACTACCATTACTAGTATTATTGCTACTGTTATTAGTATTAGTATTACTATCACTATTGCTACTATTCCTATTATTACGATAATAGAAATTCGTATTACTCTTTACAATACTACTTGTATTTTTGATAATGTTATTCCTGGTATGCGCTCTATGGGCAGAATCAGCCGCAAGTCATGCAACCTGCCCTCTAAAAGCCCTTTCAGTTTCCATGTTCTTGTTCTGTGGTTCTCCGTTATCGGGATATATGAGCTGTAGTCTACACTCCTGAAAGGGGGTTATACAGGGGTCTGTATAGGAGACTACTATAGGATTGAAAGGGGATACTTGGAGTTTACTATAGCTCGCATAACCCTAAAAGAGCTACTGTCAATATTGGGGTTACCAAGGGGCCATCAAGAGTGGACATAGGGATCCTTTGGGTGGTTTCGCATAGTCCCTGATATGTTGCCTAGTAGAACCTATGTACAATAATTACATGGGAAATACTGACCGTACTTAATATAAACCACATAACAAGTCTCTGCTGTTTATCAAGGGGATGGAATATGGGCATATGGGGTTATGTAGTGTTATATAGGGTTAGAATAGAGAATCAAATGAAAAACAGCGAAAGTCAAATGGAAACTGGGAATAACTTTCGGGCAGGAAGAGATTGAGAGACCATTCCAGTCTCTGGACTTCCTTGTGCGCGACTGGCGCCACTTCAGGCGTGGACATCTGGAATGTTCATTGAGCCATAGTATAGACTCCTTAAAGGGGGTTATGCAGGGGATTATGTATGGGATTACTGTGGAGATTGTTACGAGGGATACTAGGAGTTTAGACTACAGCTCATTGCTGCAGAGCGAGTGGCTTGAATTTGGGTCCACAACGAAGTGCAACCAGGACGCAATGGCGCAACCGCGCTTAAATGATCCGTAGTAAGTACACAGAACAAAGCAGGGTTCCGGGAATTATTCTAGCCACAGGCGGTCGAAACTTGGAGATTTCAAGATGCAAGTTTGAGTGTTTTACCCATGTGGCAGCATATTTCCAGCAGATACCCTGACTTGTGCTTGTCAGAGCAACCTTCACACCTGCGTAGGAGTCCCACACAAAATCGGTGGCTACGATCTGTGCCACAAAATCCCCCAAACCCTTTCCCTACTGGCCGAGGATTCCCAAAATTAGGGGTACCTTGCTGGGGGTCCCCACTAGTACTTCGGGGTCTATATTGGGGTCCCCTTATTTAGGGAAACTACCATATTCTTCCTGAGCCCAACACGTGGTGGCTAACCCAGGCCCCTGATTATTAACCCCCTCCCCTCAATAGGGATTATCGTAGGGATCCTAATATTGAGGCCCTTACAAGAAGGGGGTTTATTAATCAGGGGTTTACATTAAACACCTAAACCCTAAATCCTAGATAGTAGTTTCCATTTTGTTTTCCGTTATCCCTATATAACCCCAATACAACCCCTATATATCCCCTATATAACCCATTATAGTAGTTTCCATTTTATTTCCCATTATCCCTATATAACCCCTATACCCCCCTATATTACTACATTATCCCTATATTACCCCTTGAAAGGAGGGATTTACATTGTATGCCCCCTATGCTCCCCATGATCCTGGCTGCCAGGGATGACTGGACAGTGGATCAGTGTATGGAGCAGATGCAGCAGCCATTGCCTCGGATTCATAGTGCATAAGAACCATTTGAGCTATAGTCTAAACTGGTTAAAGGAGCGGCTATACAGGGGATTCTATACGGGAGTATTACATGATTTATTAAGTGCAATACTAGGAATTTAAACTATAGCTCATTTAACAACCTCGTCTCTTTCAGAAAAAGGTGTTTCTAGGGGATTGTCGATGAGGTTGGGTGACAACAAGGTGCCTCCATACCACAGAGAGCAAAGGTCGAGAATGGAACAACAGGTCGCCAGAATTGGAACAGAAAGAATAAAAAGAAGGGCAATCAAAGATCTTCCCGCAACAAGGAGCAGGGGTGTTGGTTTTGATGCTCGTCGCACGGCTGACTTCACATATTTGATTAGTAAGAACCGTCATCCTGCTACGTTGGCGATGATGCAGTAAATCTCTGGCTGAACATGCGAAGTCGCTGCATTTTGGGAAGCGTTCAAGCTTAGCTACCTAGTCTGCCAGCCACGAAATGACCTGCCAGCCTGTTAGGAGGCAGAGTGTACTTGAATCGTCCAGGCATCTTTCCCGCCACGTCAACCCGCAGAAGATGGTTGAGAACAGCACTGCCGAGGTGTTCCTTTGCACTTCAAGCCGATGCCTAAAGCAGCACCTTTAAAAGCCCTGAAGTCTGGTGCTCCATGTCGGTCTTGTCTGACCATAACCAGCATTTTTGCTTGTGCATGAGTGTTGGACAACTCCACTGGGCACATCTTTAGTAACTTCAGTATCTGGACACGCAATTTTGCAGAGCCGCTACTGTTTTACGATGAACTTGAGACAGGCGCTGCATGCAATGTTCCAGCGCCTGCAATGCTTCTGCTTGTCGGAGACCCAGCATAGCATCTAGTTTGCAGCGGCTCGCAGGAGCAGTTCAATGGTAGTAGACCGTACTATCCCATACTATACCGTACTATACCATACTATACCATAATGTATTACAATATATAATCATATGTTAGACTATACTATACCATAGTATGCTAGAATATACTACAGTATACTACCATATCATAGAATAGCTTAGAACATGTTGAAACATGCTTTAGGACCCGTTCAATTAAAGCCAAACCGAGGCCGCACCCCGGGCTTGTCATCGAAAAGGACACCTGGACTGGCAAGGCTGCCTCCTTACTGGGGGTTTGTAGGGACATGTAGGGAATAAGGGAATATGTGTGTATATATGGGGTTTCCCAAAATTGGGGGTACCATTGGGGTCCCAATAATAAGGAATATGGTATTTTAGGGTCTATATTAGGGTCCCCCTATTTTGGGAAACTACCATATGTATATATATATATATACATATCTATTTAAGGCTTCGGGTTTAGGGCTAGAAGGGAATAAGGAATATTGTGGTGTGGGGCTTATATAGGGATTATGCTCCTGTATTCCCCACGAATCCTCAGTAAGTCTCATGTCTCAAGTCACCAGGTAGGCAGTTAGCAAGCGCAGAGGCTCTTTTGTGTGATCCTCTATTTGGGGAGATGGCAAAGACGTCTTGAGGTGAATTTTGCAGGGATGCTCGGGTGCTACACCCCATGCTCAGAACACAAATCTCAAGAAGGGTACGCAACACAATGGGCAACCACAGCACCGTTGCAAAAGTGTCAACAGATGCGCAAGTCTTGCTTCTTTGCAATGCAAAGAATGGCTGCCTTGGCCGCTTAAAGCTACACATGTTTGTGATTGCCTGACTGTCGGGCCTGCGGCACTTTGGGGCTGGGGTCCGCCCCTGCATGTGGAGTCGTTAGGTCGCCGACATCAGCAGGGACTTCGTCCGGTTCATGGACCTGTATGTCCGTGATGTGTTTACCACAGGCCGGCCATTGTTGACACAGGGAGTTCCATGTCGAAAGCTCTTGCAGTCTTCGTTTATGATGTTGATGTGGTTGCCACTCAGGCTCCCACATTGAAAGTTCTAGGAGGGCTGTAAGAAGCCCAGCTTTGCCCCAATTCAAGCCAAGTGGGTGAGCTAGCAGGCTGTAGAAAGGAAGTCTCAGATTTTGTGGTCACACACCCAGCTTGATTTGAAGAGTGTTTTCTCACCTCAGAGAACTTTGCGCGGTACAAGGGGTGTGTTCACTAAGCTGCAGAGACCTTTGATGTTTGTCTGTCCCAGCTGCAGGTCTGAGCACAAAGAAGATTTTGGGCTCAGAGTTGAGCATCCCGGCCATGGATTTGCATCCGGACAAGAGTGGCAGAACGGCAGCCGATACTTTAAAGTAAGACTATGAAGTACTATTGTGACGATGATTACTCTTATTGCTATTCTTTCTATGATTGTATTATTAGGATTCTCATTGCTATTGCCACTTTGTCGCTCGAAGCTTAGAGAGCCAGGGCAGAGTTCCTTGACTGGCTTAGCTACCAAGTTTTCAGTATTCTTATTGCTGTTATCTTTATTACGATCACTATATTACTAGTGTTGTTACTACTATATTATTATTACTGTTGATAGTATGACTACTAGTCGTATGATTACTACTATCATTATGTCAGGTACCATGACCTTTCCGATTGTTCTGCGAGACTTTGCAGGAAGCTGAGGTCTGCAACACGCTGATCTCATGTAAGTGCCAACTTTGCATAGGATTCCACGGTATGATCATGCAGACATATCAGAGAGTGACGGTGCATTGTGCAACCATCCGCTAGATGTGGAGGACCTGCCATGCCATGACATCGAAAGCATGTCGCTTCTTTTCAGCCTGAGGTCAATGCGTTTCATGATGCGGCTCCGGCGGCAATGTCCTTCACGCAGGCCATGACAAACTGCACGGCCCTGGCCTCGACATGTGCTTGTGACATGGGGTGGTAGTGCGCATCCACCGCATGATTCCATACTGGTGCGGAAGCGCTGCTAAGCCTTGGCTTGGGGACCAATGGCTAAGGTTCTGCTTGCGAAGGAGTCAGCCATGAAAAGCTTCATCAAGAAGATGGACGAGGCAAGATACGATACGGGAGCGTGCGTTGGGCGGTGGCCCCAGAGACGAAAGTGGAAGGGATCGGTGGTCAAACCCCTCCGAGCACCACGAATCAGCCTCTTGCCCAATATGATTCTATGTCGACTGTGGTCGACATACGGACATAGCATGATCGTGCAAAACAAAAAGGATTGTTGTCTGGAATCGGGGACCTAAGCGATCAAGTCGACTCAGAAGCAAGTACAGAGTACTGCATCATTCGTTCCCTTCGCGCCATGCAGTGCCATTGCAAAGCGCCAGACGTGCCAGGAAGCATCAAAGCATCCGAGAGGCTTGGGTGGTGGCTAGTACATTTGCGCCACGTCTGTGCAGAATTGCGCATCAAAATATCGCGCCCGCGTCTGTTCGAGTGTCAGCTGATGCAGGCATGAAGCCTGAAGAATTCACCACCATCTCAAGAAGTGTCACCCAAGAAGTGGAGGTGCGACGGTGCTTGCCGCACTTCATGGCCCGCAAGGAAGGCTATAGGCATGCCAGAAACCCTGACAGGCCGAATACAAGTCCGTGACTATCTTTGGGCAGGGCACCTCAGCCCTGACCGTCTCCAGCCATGAGATGTCTTTTTGTGACTTCTGTGCAAACATTTACAGAATCTCCACAATCATTCTTATCCAACTTTGAGGACTGCCTTGTTGCTTGGAAAAAAAGACTGCAGCATGCATCCTCTGCAGTCAAGCACAATCTCCTTCCCTGCAGCCTCGGGAGCTTCCGCTGCATTTGCTGGTTCCAGGTCGGACGAAACAAGGAAGGGCACCTGGAGCGAAATTTGCTCGAATCTGGATACCCTCCGAAAGAGATACGAGGAGGACTCCTACCGGGCCTTCGCTTTGTATCAGTAAAATGCCAATTCCGTTGCTCATCGCTGTTGAGCATCTAGTTCAGATTCACTGGCAACTCTTTGACCCCACCCCGAATAGCTCTGAAGAGCCGCCCACCTCGTCCCAGGAGAATGCCAGACGGTTAGAGAAGGCTGGTGAGGTTTTTGCCAGAGCTGCGGAGTTTGGGATGCAAAGTTTGCACTGATTGCAGCATGACCCAGGGCGCATAGGATACGTGAAAAAATGGTTTCTTCCGGTTGCTGTGCCGCTTGTCCAGGCACTAGTCGCTTTCGCGAATATCTCCTTGATCGGTCTTGCGCTCTTCCTGCTGGACCGTGTAAGCCGCCCTCCCAGATAACAAAGAACCAGACTGAGGCCTTTGACGGGCCGTTGCGATCGATTGCACTGGGACACTGGGACACAGATCGGGGCTACTACCTTGTGTGCTTGAGATCAAGGTGATTGGACCTGTGATTGGTGGTCACAAACTTGCACGGACTTGAGCAAGGCTTGTCTCCCTGATGTTTGAGGAAAGTTGATGACGGAGGGGTTGCCGGGTTGCAGCAATTGCATAGGGTCTGCTCTACGATGCAGGGTCAAGTGGCTTCATGAGCAACATGTGCAATAGCACAAACCTGAAGACTGCATCGCACAGATCATGCTCCTTGCCTACGTGCTCATCTTTGGCTATGCCAGAGGCTAAGTGCTCTCTGCTTCGCATTCTGTTGTGCATGCCTACACGATATCGCACGGCACGTTCTGATCATGAGTCAAGGTTGGCGTCCAAGCATACTTGGCACTCCATGATCGGGGGCGAGTCGCCAGGAGCCTAGGACCACGCCTGTCAGGACCTGGCAAGGCAACTAAGTGCCCTCCAAACTCCAAAGTCGAAGGTTTCCAGGGGGCCTCATTCAACTTCGGCATTGGCAGTTCGAGTCGTTGTTCTCTCGAAGTGCTCGCGTCAACTCAGAGTGCAACTCGGATGAGGCCGCCGCGATGGCAGGCGGCGAGCTGTGGAAAGAGATGGTTCGCCTCATGGGCCTGCCGCAACCTTAGTGTCTACACTTACGGAGCGTGAGCTGGCTGATACTCTGCAATGGACTCCGAATTGGGCGACCCTAGGTACGGCGAGCTTCTGCAGGAGATGGAGCTGAAGGAGGTTGCAGCCCGTGTCAAGGAGCAGGCCGAGCCACTTCAAAGCTGGCACTGCGCGCTGCTGTCAGCTGAGCAGTTCAGAAAATACTTTGGTACTGAAATAACGTCGGAAATCGGCCGCCGGCAACAACTTTTGAAAAGTGGTTCCCACCGTGCGCGCGGAAGCTCGCAGGAGCTTTTGCATAGGCACTTCGCTTGCGGAAGATCTTTGCGGAAGCTCTTTTTTGTTAGGACGGAGAGCGCCAAAGACTTGAAATCCCTTTCGCGGAAGCGCCGCGGAAGCACCTTGGATGAAGACGTCCGCGGACGAGCCCGCGGAAGGACAGTGCCGGAAAACCAGCCAACAGTCTTCGCGCAGGGCTTACGGAAGGTCCGCGGCAGAAGGTCCGCGGAAGCTCGCGGGCGGAAGCTTCCTCATTTCAATTGATTGTTTATATATTCATTTTTAACGGCTCAGCTCGTTCTTCCGGTTTGCGCTCTTCCGGTTTGCGCTTGAGATGTGGCAGGCCCTTGCTTGGTACAGCCAGGTATGAGCCTTAGGAGTTTGAAGAGCTCCCAACTTCCAACTCCCCGAAATTCGGCCTTTGGACTTTTCTGGCTTGGCCAAAGCCAAGGCCACGGGCGGAACTGCCAACGTCGACTCCAGCAAGAAGAAGGCCCTTTGTGGTCATGACATCTTTATATACTATAGTAGTTTCCATTGTATTTTCCATTGTCCCAATATAACCCCTATGTACTATAGTAGCTTCCATTTCATTTTCCATTATCCCAATATATTGATGCAAACTTCGCTACTGAATGGCTGGCCATGGGCCAGGATTGAGCACGCTTTGGTTGGTGCACCGGTCCGAAACTCTGATGCGGCCCTCGGACAGAGGTGGCACCGAGCCGAACAGAGCTCCACCTGAGTTCTGGGTTGCCAGAAAGTAAGCAACGTACCCTCTTTGAGCATAGTGTTTGCTTTCAGCTGGTTACAGTGGTGTCGGCATGACTCACAGTTCGGGTCGGGAGCCGAGAGGCAAGCGTATTGGTGAGCCTCGTGTTGAGGGTGAGGATGAACCGAGCCTCTCAATCGAGCCACCCAAACAGTCAGTTTCTGGTTGAACGGTTTTCCTCGGGATCCTTTCTGAGGGCCTAACATGTCCCGACGAAGCACAGATCCGAATGGCAAGGGGCTCCATTACAAGGCGTCCGCAGTGCAAATGCCATAGCCCTGCCTGGGCTGAAGGGAGATGACCCAAGATCCCTGAGCGCAGAGGCTTCAATTCCCTTCTGCCTTTGAGCCAGAAAGCAAGGTTGAATGCATGCAGCTGTTGCAATGCAGTGCAGACATGCAACGAGAAAAGGCTTCGCTTGCCAAGCATGAATCGATATTGCCACAAGTGCGCAACCGCAGACTTCAGCCACGAGCCGATTAGCACTTGACAGGGATTTCGCCGAGCTCTCATGCTGCATGCTGCAATCCTGCGCGGCCATCTGTCATTCAGGCTTCAGCTGGACACACGGCCTTAAAAAGAGTCTCAGGGGTCTTGGGAGCGTCACGAAGCACACAGAGAATTCGCGTCAAAAAAGCAAGCGTCATCTCACCCGAACTCACACCACTCCCTCAAGCAAGCCATACTAACCAAGCCCCCTTTGCGCTATGCACGATCTCCGGATCTTTAAGTTGTGACCAACACCTTCATGCCTCTCAGCTTGGGCTGGGGGCACACGCCCCATAAGGCCAGACTCCTTTAGCCAGATGAACAGTACAGACCCCTTTCTGCAAGCTTTAAGCCCCAACAATGGGTCTTTCCATCCCCTAAGTCCCGAACTGTTCCCGCAGCTTCATGGGAGCGGGGAAGAGCAGCTGCCTCAGCCAGCAGCTGTTGATTTCAGACTTCATTTGGAACGAGACTTTTTCACTATCTGCCAACTGGCTGAGGCGCTAAGCCGGCATCGAAGTGCTTCCCCCACTGCAGGATAGTGATTGTCAGCTTATTGATGTGGCTTAGCTTTGGGCAACTGGTCACGCCAAGCCTGGAATAAGTCCACTTACGCAAAGTCTTCAACTTGCAGGTATGAAAAGCCTGCTAAGCCTCAAGAGCCCGCGCCGGCAGCCAGCAGGCTCAACCAACTTGCCATGATGCAGCGAAATATGCTAACTGAGCTGCATTGCTGTCCCATCACATGCCCAGCATTCTTCAGCCGGAAGTTAAGCGCTTTCTTCCAAGCTCCAGAAAACAGATGGTCTCAGTTTCTGGCATCGTATTTCACCTGCCCTATACACCCATCAAGCCCCCTGCACAAAGCCCTGTGCGTCAGGGCCTGGGAATCTGCAGGCGGGCGCTTCTGGGCCGGGAAGGGCAAGCCCAGCTTGTCATGATATGAGCCATACTCTAAACTCCTTAAAGGGGGATATAGAAGGGATTATATATGGTACTACTATAGGGGTTATTAAGGGGGATACTAGGAGTTTAGGCAACTGCTCATATGAGCTATAGTCTTATCTCCTTAAAGGGGGTTGTATGAGGGATTATGTAGGGGACTACTATAGCGGCTATTAAGGGGTATACTAGGAGTTCAGACTGCAGCTCGTGTTCTGATGGGGATGACCCCCAAGCAAGTGACACCTCGTTCACATGTGAGCCATAGTCTAAACTCCTAGTATCCCCCGATGAATAACCCCTAAAGTAGTCCCCCATATGATCCTTTTATAGCCGCGCCTTGGCGGGGCTAAGATTCTGCCTCCTGTAGCGTGAAGACCTTGACTAGCCCACAAACTCAGCCTGGTCTTCAAGACGCAGTCCTAGAGGATTTCGCAATAGTAACAGTACTGGTAATAGTAATAGTATTGATACTAGTATACTAGCAATGCTAATAGTAATAAATAGTGATAGTAGTAGTAACAGGAAAAGTTATTTAAGGGCTGCCGCCGCT